CCGTTCTTATGCTCTTATGTTCAGCTGCTCTTAGCTCTGCATAGAAGAGGGAGCTAGAACTCATGCGATACCATTTAAAAAAGGAGAAGAGAAGAAAAGCTCCCTAGGATCATTGCCATGCACCAAGCATTTTTAAGGTTTTAGTAATCATTCCCACTCTTAGTGTTGACAAATGCTGCACAATCTGCCTTCAACCATTAGTAATAAATATGCAGGCAATTGAATCGATTGATGTGCAGAGAAGCAACTTTGTGAGAAGAGTGGGAAGGGAGCAAACAGTGGGGGAGATCTCTGTTTGGTGGCCTCTCCCCTGGGGGGGACAGGGAGGTGCCTCCTGCACCTCCCCTGGTGGGCTCCCTGGGCAAGTTGAGGTCAGGTGCGGGATCTGTAGGACCTGCAGGACCTGGACAGCACCAAGGCAGCAGAGACGTTTCCCCAGCGAGGTAGAAACAAAAAAGCTTGCAGAATCTGTATGCAGGGTGTAGTGGCGGCTGGCCCCTCACCACGTAGGATCATGGAAAGAACTCAGAGGCAGTCGCACATGAAGCTTCCTTTTACCGAGGCAGAATCTTGGCCCATTGCTCACAGTGACTGGCAGCAGCTCTCCATGCTTTCAGAGAGGGGGCATTCCCAGCCGTGTGTGGAAATGCCAGGGATCCTTGTGCATGCAAAGCAGATGCTCTGCCACTGAACTATGCCTCCCTGCCCAGTCCTCTGGCTTGTCCTCACTCAGTCATTTTCTCAAGGGTGGAAGGTGGAAGCAGGGGCCCTGGGACACTCATTGGGGTGCTTGGAGTTGCTGGTCCCTGCTGAACCCCCTTTGTTTTACCCTTCTCCCTTCCCAGGCAATTCTGCACCTGTGACAGCAGTGCCCTCTGAATCGACTGCTTAGGGCAGTGTGTGTGTGTGTGTGTGTGTGAGAGAGAGAGAGAGAGAGAGAAACTCTCCTTCTCATCCATGATTCAGCAGGCTTTCCATTTCCCTAATCAGAAATTACCTCCTCTGCCCCCTCCCACTCCAGCTTGGACCAGCTTTCCCCTCCGCTCCAGCAAAACTTTCTTACATGAGCCGAGCATCAAAAAACCCTCACGTGGGTGTCGTCTGCATCATCTTGGATGCACTGGCTGGCCGGTCCTAAAGAGTCCTTTAAACTGATACAAGCCCATTAACGGGCATTGTCGGTTTGGGTGCACCAAGTTGGCGCCATGACAGGTTTCTGTTTGCACCCGCAGGTCTGTGGGATGCAAGAGGGGGAGAGTGTCATTATCATCGTACTGCGTGAGGTTGGTGGGGGGAACGGCTCGGAGAGAGACGTACGTGCTTTGCAGGGCAGTTGGCTTCCAAGCTGGCACAGGGGAGGCTGGGAGCCATTTTTCAGCTCAGTTCCTGGCTGATGAGCTGTTGAAGGACAAAAGGTCAGGCCATAACGTTGGCAGAGACAGAACCTCGGGCGGGCTGGCGAGGCAGTGGCTGCTTTTCTCCCTCCCTCCCTTTCTCTCCCTCTCTCGCTAGCTGTGTCTCGCTGTAGTGAAAGTTGCTCAGAGTGTCACAGGAGTGGGGGGGGGGGAGAGGGAAGCGGGTGACAAGAGAGACAGCTGTGCCCAACAAGAGATGCTTCTGTGTTTCTAGGAGACGGCGGCGCGTGGGCCTGTTTGGTGGCATTGTTTGGCAAACGTGGCGGTGTGGGAGGCACGGTTGCACTCCTCCACGTCGGGCAGCCCTCCGTTTCTTTCTCAGCAAATTGCCAAGGGGTGGAAGCCCGTCTCTCTGCTCTTGGAAGCCTTAGGTGGGCGACGAGCTGAAGGCCAGGCATTCTGCAGATCATCAAGAATCATTACCAGTACAGTGGTACCTCGGGTTAAGAACTTAATTCGTTCTGGAGGTCCATTCTTAACCCGGAACTGTTCTTAACCTGAAGCACCACTTTAGCTAATGGGGCCTCCCGCTGTTGCCGTGCCACCTGAGCATGATTTCTGTTCTAATCCTGAAGCAAAGTTCTTAACCCGAGGTACTATTTCTGGGTTAGCGGGGTCTGTAACCTGAAGCGTATGTAACCTGAAGCGTATGTAACCTGAAACGTATGTAACCCGAGGTACCACTGTATTATCAACAACAAATAGGCTTGGGGGCACCTTATGTTTTTTAATAATGTATATTTTCAGATAAAACTACAACTAATCCAAAATGTGGCAGCTAGACTGGTGACTGGGAGTGGCCACCAAGACCACATAACTCCAGTCCTGAAATACCTACATTGGTCCCAGTACGTTTCCAGGAACAATTCAAAGTGTTGGTGCTGACCTTTAAAGCCCTAAATGGCCTTGGTCCTGTATACCTGAAGGAGCGTCTCCAGCCCCATCGTTCAGCCCGGACACTGAAGTCCAGCTCTGAGGGCCTTCTGGCAGTTCCCTCACTGCGAGAAGCGAAGTTACAGGGAACCAGGCAGAGGGCCTTCTCGGTGGAATGCCCTCCTATCAGATGTCAAGGAAATAAAGAACTATCTGACTTTTAGAAGACATCTGAAGTTAGCCCTGTTTAGGGAAGCTTTTAATACTGGATGAATCATTGTATTTTAATATTCTGCTGGTAGCCACCCAGAGTGGCTGGGGAAACCCAGCCAGATGGGCAGGGTAGAAATAATAAATTATTATTATTATTACACTAAGATGCTGATTATATATATATATATATATACACACACACACACACATATATAATTTTGACAAACATTTGTGAGGACTGTTTTATTTACAGACTGATGTGGAAATTTGGTGGACTGAGCTTTAAGGCTGGGCAGCTGGAGAATGGAGAAGACCGATTTGTTCATTTCTGGCTGTAGCTCTGAATCACCCCAACGCAACACCTTTGCCCCGTGGCTCACCTGTTGCCTCAATGCCTTGTCTTTAAAGTGAGGAGCAAGTTCTGTAAGAAGAGGTGGGGGAGGATCCTGACCAGGAAAGGACATCCAGCTTCCCACTCAAACGCAGCAATTCTTTACAGAGCGAAGAAGGCGATCCTTCTCTGAGATTGGGAAGAACTAGCGGCAGCAGAAGACTCTGGGGAGAGGCAGGCCAGGGAGTTGGAAGGTGGCTTCCTGACTTCCACCTTCCTGATGGCTTCAGGACTGCAGGGCTTTTGAGGCTGGAGGTTTTGGCTAGTTGGCCTGAAGTGCTTGGCCATTGTTCTTCTCAACCCGCTGTCCTGGTTGTGCAATGATTAAAGCACCCATAACATCTCTCCTGGAGTGTCTGACTCATGAAAAAAGGGTGTGTGATCCAGCCCAAGTGATGCAAAAACTCAGCATACGCTTAAGCATTCCCCCTTTAACGTGGACTACAGGAGACCCCAGCGTCTGTCATGCTGAAAGGTGCATATTTGGGGGGGAAGAACAGAACTTGGGGGAAGGCTTTTGCTTGCAGTCATCCTTTTGAAAAGGGGGCCCCTGCTTTCTCCCCACCTCCCCAGCTCGGTTATCTCTTGCCAAGATGAGACCCTGTCATCTCTCTGTTGATTTTCAACAGCTGTACCAGTTGGAATATTTTATTCCATGCAGAGGGGTTGAGACAACAAATTGTAGCTGTGATATCAACTTAAAAGCCATTAGCATTCCATGCTTGCGCATGTTAATGACACCGCGGAATAGCGATAATTAGATGAAGCATCATTTAACATCATCGCCGGTGTACTTTACATTTATTTATACATCATTCCACAAGCCCGCCCCCCCCCCCAAGTCAGCAAAATCGAAGCCCTCCATGGTGTTCAATAAGGAAAATATCCCATGGCTGCTAGTTAATTATGCCAGCTTATTTGTGTAATAATTCTCCTTATTGCATTACTGTCCGCTTGCAGAGGGATCTGGGGAAGTGACCCTGGCCTTCTCCCCCCCCCCAACACCATTCTTTTCATTCATCACTTGTTCTTCTGTCAAGGCTCTGCTGCGGCTCTTATTGTCATTTTCTGCAGTGAGCCTGGCCGTGATGAAGCTGTGCCACGGTGCAGAGAGGAATGAGAAGGGGATTATTTAGCTGCGAAAAGCTTGGTGGCAGAAGCAACAGCATGGGTTCTGGGAGGGTTGGAACCAGGCCAGGGGGCTGGGGGAGGTCTTCACTCACCTGATGCCCTCCAGATTTTTTGGACCACAGCACTCTTCAACCTCAGCCAAGACAGCACAGGATGATGGGAGCTGCAGCCCACACCTCCAGGCAGTGTACGACAACACTGTGAAACACGAAAGCAAGGCAATAAAATCAAAAGGCAATTTGCCATCCAAATAAATCCAAACTCGCAGCAACAGGCACCCAGAACCAGAAAAGGCCATGAGGAACGGAAAGGTTTTCACTGTGCCCTGAAACTATGAGAACATTGAAGTGTGCCTTATTTCCAGGGGGAAGGGGGCCACCACAGAGAAGGGAAAGTCCTCTTCCTGGTTGTTGCTGGATGGAGATTGGGAGGTTGTGGGCAAACTGGGAGGGCTTGAGGTGAATGCATCTTCAGGTCAGAAAGAACCAATTGACTTGTGGAAGTGTGTGAGAGATGGACCGACCCATGTACAGATATGGGTCCATGTACAGATATGAGTCCTCTTCTCATTCCCTAATGGACCAGTTATGGCACCACAAAGGGACACAAGGCCACACACTGAGAGGCTCCAAGTTCAAATCTCAGCTTATCCAGACAGCAGGAGAATGGCTGTAAGGAATCTAAAGATTCTCATCCAGCTGTATCTTCTGTGAAGGCTGTTGGCTCCCACCTGTTAGGACTTGAGTCCCATCCTGGTTTTGGAACCCTTAGAAATGTTTTCCCACCAGCAGAACCCTCCAGACATATGAGACAAAAACTGGGAGCGCCACTCAGGAGATGTGCAATGGAAGAGCAATATCAGAACAAGCATGGAAGGCGCACAAGGAGACACAGTTGGCTCAGACTGATCTCATGGCATCACGCTGTGTGGTGGTGGGGCCTCGAGGACAAGGGCAGTTCAGTCACAGTACAAGCCTCTGGAGGGATAGCTCAGTAGGTAGCACATGAGACTCTTAATCTCAAGGTCATGGGTTTGAGCCCCACGGTGGGTGAAAGATTCCCGCATTGTAGAGGGGTTGGGCTAGATGTTCCTCATTGTCCCTTCCAACTCTATAATTATATGGTTCTATGAAGAGAGCGTGGGACGCGGGTGGCACTGTGGGTTAAACCACAGAGCCTAGGACTTGCCAATCAGAAGGTCGGCGGTTCGAATCCCTGCGACAGGGTGAGCTCCCATTGCTCGGTCCCAGCTCCTGCCAACCTAGCAGTTTGAAAGCACAGCAAAGTGCAAGTAGATAAATAGGTACCACTCCGGCAGGAAGGTAAACGGCGTTTCCGTGCGCTGCTCTGGTTCGCCAGAAGCGGCTTAGTCATGCTGGCCACATGACCCGGAAGCTGTACACCGGCTCCCTTGGCCAATAAAGTGAGATGAGCGCCGCAACCCCAGAGTCGGTCACGACTGGACCTAATGGTCAGGGGTCCCTTTACTTTTACCTATGAAGAGAGTAGGGTTGAAAGTTCAGTGCACTCCACTGCCAATCCAAGGCCAAACCCCCGAGTCTAGACCCCAGAGGCCGAGGTCAAGAGCACAGCCAGGAGAGGGAACTCAATTTAGGAGCCAGAGGCCTGTGGAGAATCTGCTTTGCCCTCTGGGGTCTTGGGGTCTGGCAACAGGGCAGGGCAGGGCAGGGCATAACACATGGTCAGAACATAGCCTGGTGTTGCAACAAGGTCTGCTTGCACTTCAGGGCATCTTTGCCACCCCTTGGGAAGAAGACACCCCCCTCCGAGAGCAACCTCTGAACCACCTTCCGTATGTCTCTCCTATTTCTCTCTCTCTCTCTCTCTCTGCCTTGCAAGGTTTGTAATTGCCCTTGGAACGGGGCCGTACAGATTCTTGGAAGGGAGGATGTCAGATTCCCAGCATCCTCGCAGGCGAAAGACAGGCCCTGCTATGTTGGCACAACAGCCTCCTTCCCTTGTACAACATCCTCACAGGAGCATCTCATGTCTCGCGCTTCTCATGCAGCAAGCGCGCCTCACTCACTGCTTGGATTTGGCATGAGAGATGAATGCAGATTTCAGAAAATGGCTCCTTCCAGGACAGACCCTCCTCCTCCTCCTCCTCCTCTCCCCATTTCTCCTTCTGAGGGTTCCCTTTAAAGTTCATTACTTCCCCCTCCACCCACCCCGTACAGGCGTGAATCCCTAAGTGCTTAGAAATTGCTCCAGTTCACCAGATGTGGGGAGAATATGAAAGGTTTTTGGTGTTTCTCTATTTACGACCTCCTCTTTAATAACAGAGCAAGAGGCTCGGCTGTTCCCTGAGAGGCGGCGGAGATGGAGGGGGGGGGCATTTCTGGGTTTTCGACTCCGGCTGACATTTTGACACAAATGTCATCATTTGCAAATTCCTGCCAGCTCTGTTTGCAAGGCACCTCATCTGCAGGTTTAACAATTGTCGCTTCAAATCCTGAGGGGGGAGAAGAGAGTGAGAAATCCAACCTTAGAATACAGTCTAAATTAGAATACCGTCATCCCTGACCATTGGTCCTGCTGGCTAATGCTGATGGGAGACGGAGTCCAGCAGCATCTGGAGGGCCGCAGTTCCCCCATCGCTCCTTTAGCTAAATACGAAATAAAATAATACTGGCCTACCTTACAGTGTTGTTGTGATACTGAGATTATGTGTGTGAAGTGCCTTGAGCACCTCATGTACTCTATAGAGATGAATCTGCTACTGTTATTATCCATTACCTTTTAAGAGGCTGTTATTATTTCAGTTGGATGAACAAATGGCTTTTCCCTCCCTCCCGTTTTCTGTGCATTTGGTAGGCAGAGTTCAGGGGCAAAGCTGGAAATGGCTGTTTCTGTGCCTAAGGCTCAACATTCCCCCCCCCTCTCTCTCTCTCTCTCTCTCTCTCTCTCACACACACACACACACACTGCCCCTGGTGGGAACCAGCACCAGATCAAATGAAGGGATGAGTACTGCTGCTATTGTGTTTCCAAATTCTCCCTGCCCAGGTAGACTGCTCTTGCTCAGAAGCTTTTGTGCAAAAACTAAGGAACAAAGCAAAATCCTCACCCCCAGCCTACCAGTTTTTACCTATCTGTAACCCCCTAGAGCAGCTGTTCTCAACCTGTGGGTCCCCAGATGTTGTTGGACTACAACTCCCGTCATCCCTGAGCTCTGGCCTTGCTAGCTAGGGGTGATGGGAGTTGTAGTTCAACAACATCTGGGGACCCACAGGTTGAGAAAGGCTGACCTAGAGCCTCACTGCACCTACTCCCACAAGGAGCGGAGTGTGTTTTGCCAAAGGAGGGGCAGCAGGAATTAAGTGTCCCAAATGTGAAGCCTGCAAACACAAGATCATTTCCTCCTCCTGTGGTTTCCCGCAACACGTATTAGGAAGCATGACTTCCTCCAGCTGTGGAGACGGGAGCATAGCCATCATGACCAGGGAGAGTTAGGGTTCTTATGTGATTTCGCAGGAATTTCATAGTCACTAGGAAGACTTGAATCTCATTTTGCACCCTCTCCAGTCTGTGCCAAAGCAGGCCCCCTTTCTGCTTACCCTCCTTGTGAAGATTCTCAGCAGGCTCCCCCAACCTGGTGCCCTCCGGGTTGTCTTGGACTACAGCTTTATCAGCCTCAGGTGCTGCCTGGGGTGGCTGTGGGAATGATGGAATCTGCAGCCCAAAACATCTAGAGGGCACCAGGTTATGGAAGCCTGATATATGGATGCTGACCAAGGAAGGAAAGACCTGTCAAGTTCAATTGTCTCAGGTTTTCTTTTTCTTTTTTCCAACCTTAAATTCAGTTCTCCACATTCTGCAGCAATTTGCAGTTAAAAACAAACAAAATTCTCATGAAAACCAGCGTTTGAGTGCTTATTTCTCCTAAGAAACCCATTTTATATGTAGTTTTGTACCTATTTTTGAAAGCAATTTCCTCTAAAGTGATGCATTTTTGTGTGTTATTCTCACAAATATTTTCATTTCTATGCACACTTTCCCCTAATATATCCATTTTTGTAAACATTGGTTGGCTGAAGAACTGCATCACAAACTTAGAATAAGTGCGAATTTTGAAGGGTAACTGTGTTTTGGTTCTCATAATTGTTTCAGAAAGTGCAGATTTGGTAGGTTCGTTTTTAAGTGTGTAATGTCTCATTTACCCCAATGCTGACTGACCTGTCCCTCCCTATTTTTGAAAAGGAGGACATTTCAGTTTTACGAAAAGCACTTTGGACAGCTCCTTGAGAAGCCTGAGAGCTCTGCCATATTGCCCACCTCTCCCTCCCCCCCCAACATTTTCTCTCTCTGCATTTTTGAGTTCTAGATAAATTCCCTGTGTGTGCACACACATACTCACACACACACATTGCAGGATCGGATGCAGTTTGCAATACATTACTTGGTCTTGACATTTATGGCGAGTCTAAACAGTGTGTGTTATTCCTGCCAAATCATCAGGCTCAGGCCAGGGGGAGAAACGGCCAGCGGCTAGAGGAGGTTTTATACAAAAGAGAGCAAAGTGATGCACTCTGGCTTTTCGTACTGCCAGCTATAAAACAGAAAAGCGAAGAGCAGAAAATTGAAACCATCATGAAAGTGTCAGGTCCAGGGGCATCTGAGGCAGAAACCTTCCTGACTTTCGGAAGTATTGCCTGCATGGAATCCTCTGGGTGGCTCTCCTTCAAAGTTTCCCCCAGTGATTCTTTGGGTTTGGCGGGATAGACAATGGGTGAGTCAAAGGGTCTCCCTTGCCACCCTAGCCCCATCAACACAGACACCACTGGGCGTTTCTCTCTCCCAGTAAAATGCTTCTGGTGTGAGGGGTTAGAATTGAAGGTTTATTTTTCTTAGGATGAAGCAGAGCTCTGTATGTGAGCTACTGATAGCTCTTTGAAATGGATGACTGAGAAGAAAGCTGCTATGATTAGGGATGGAATTGGTTGTAGGCTTTGACATTCTACAAGGTTGCCCTGTATTAGTATTTTTTATGGCTCAACTCCTGCCCTGTGGAATAGTTAATTTTAAATATAAACTGTTATATATTGGTCTCTTATAAAACAGCCATGCTGATTGGGGTTGATGGTGTGTGTGTGTGTGTGTGTGTGTGTGTGTATACAAACACAAACTAGGGGCCGTGTCTCTGCAAATTCTGCTGATCAACCCCTATCATTTTCCCCACATTATGCAATGATCTCCTTCCCACCTCATGCAACTACTAAGCTCGCTTTTCATCTTCGCAACCTGATTTCTTTGTGCAAATCCAGGATGTGATGGACACTACAAATACTCCAATGGGAACGGCATGATGACAGCCTTACATTTCTGTGCATATAGGAAGATATATATATCCCACTCTCATATCTCACATATTGTTTTGCTATTGTTTTTTGGAAATTTCTTACAGTGAAAGCCACTTTGGGAGAGTTTTGCTCAGAAAAGGAGCCTATAAATATTTTCATCTTTTACAGATTAAAACACAAGTCAACATTCTACACATCTGGGTAGACTTAGGAACAAACCCCACTGACCAGAAACATAGTGCCTGACGCTGTTCTTATTTAATCTTCAAGGGGCTTTTTGCTGAATGTTTATTTATTCCATATATATATATATATATATATATATATATATATATATATCCCACCTTTTTCCTCCAAGGAAATGGTGTCAATGGTTCACTCAAGATGGTGTCCATGGTTCTCCCCTTCTTCATTTAATCCCCAAAACATCCTGTGACGTAGTTTGGGCAGAGAGGCAGTGACTAGACCAAAGTTGCCCAGTGAGCTTTGTGACTGAGTTGGGGTTTTGAACCCAGGTCTCCCATGTCCTAGTTCAACACACTAACCACTACACCACACTGTCCATAGTGTGAATGACATCTCTAGGCAGCAGCTCCCAGCTTCCTTACCACAGGGGGATTCTTCCTCTCTGAGTCCATGTCAGGGAGGATCTCTGAGCCTTGTGTAAGTTGTCTGAACAGACAATGGCATCGCGGCAACTCAGCCAGGTTTGCTAATATATTCATGGTTAAATTTA